TCTAGTGGGTGCAGAGTGATATTGCATGGTAGCTCTAATTTGCTGTTCCCCACAGTTAATGATGCTGAATAATATTTCATTTGTTTATTTTAGAAGATCATATTTTGCAATCTCTGCTGTATTATGGACAATTTTAAAATATCAGTGGCTTTTGAAGCGATTATTTTAAAAGAAGTCCACCAAAAACTTGAACCGTTAAGACAAAACAAACAAGGTTGGTGTACGGAATCTCTGTTAAATTTTGGCAAGTGGTGATCTACCTGCATAAGGGATGACCAGTTCCAGACAGAGCACATAGTAGGACTTGAGCACAAAGATTGAGAGAAAGCCAGTTTCTTGGCTTCTTTGGTCTTGTGAAGACTTGTTTGGCCCTTAGGTAAACTTTAGTCCTTAGGGGGAACCTACCTAGATTCAATTACCATTTGTTCCAGTTGCTCCAGTGGTCACCTGGGAAGTGTTTATTCCTGCAAAGTTGCTCAGCAGTCCTTTGTGGCCACCACGAGTATGTGGTGGAAGCCTGCTGAACTCAGAGCTCCCTCTCTGGGGACAATTTGCCTGAATCAGGTAATGAAGCTTTGAGAATTGGTTACCACAGGCCCAGGAATGTCACCACTCTAGAATTCTGAGGCATTCTTTTTAGGTTCCAGCCATCATCTCTTAATGGATTAAGCGTACATCTCCTGAGAGCTTACTGCATGATGGGGCAGGGTACTGTTTTGTACATTAGAGGGTACAGCAGAGAAGGAAGCAGCAGGAGAACAGAGGTGTTTGTGGGAGCGCCTGAGAGAGGCTCCTGAGCCAGATGTCAGCTCAGGGGAGGTGATTAGGAAAGAACTCAAGACGTGACAGTGATGTGGAGGCCTAAGGTCAAGGGGGAGTTAACCAGGCTAATCAGACTTCTTGAACAGTGTTTCGGGAGGAGGGCATACACCAGTGAAGTCGCAGTGGTAGGGTAGAGCATGGGCCACTCAGTCAGAAAGGAGTCCCCAGGAGAATGATGAGCTAGTGAGGAGGCTGAAGTCCCACAGGGAGCCCCTCTGGGAGACCCGGTAAACCACTGTGAGCACTGTGAAGACTGGCCTCTATCCCAAGGTGGTTGGAACAAGGCAAAGGTCTTACATGGGGTAGTAGTGTTTTCAGAGACTTGGTATTATAGAGTGATATTAGATGCTGTGTGGTCAAGGGACCACACGGTGCAAGACTGGAAGCAGGGAGACCAATGAAGTGGCTCTGTGGTCAACCAGTAGTGAGATGAGACCAGCCTATTGATTGGTGATGACTGTGAAGTGGGACCCTGTCCAGCCAGTAACTGGAAATGTGTATAAGGGCAGATATGAGTGTGCTACCAGCTTTGGAAACATTGAGAAATCCAGTACATAGTACTCTCTCTCTCTCTTTTTTGTTTATGCCTATTTGTTCACTTCCTTGAAAAAGTGATGTGGAAATGTCCCTTGGCTTCGGTTATCTGACGGGCTTGGGCATTGCCAAACCCTCCTCTGGACAGAATTGTCCCCAGCATTGATTCCTGGGTCTCTGGGCAGGAGCATGGAGTTGTATAGGAAATCAGGGATGTGCCCAGGTACAGGGAGGGGATGGGGCAGATATCCAAGGTGAAGGCAAAGCATAAACTTCTGTTGCTCTGGGCTCTGCTTCTTGTAAACTATCACACTCTCTCTGTCTGAACAGGTCCCTGGGGTCAGGATCTGTGTTTGGAAAATTGGAAGCTATACTCTTAGAAACGATTGTTCAAGAAAACGCATGTGGGCCTCTCTCTGCTCCAGAAGGTTCTGTCAGGGGTGCTCTCCCTCCCTCTGACCACTCTTCCCCTGGGTTTGAGGGAGTCAGTTCTATGCTGTGGTTTGCCCCAGAGGCACCCCCAATCGTAAGACCATCTCGATCAGCGATTCTCAACCTGTGGTTTGCGACTCCTTTGGGGGTTGAACGACCCTTTCACAGGGGTTTCCCGATTCCTAACAGTAGCAAAATTACAGTGATGCAGGAGCAACAAAAATAATTTTATGGTTGGGGGGTCACCACAACCTGAGGAATTGTCTGAAAGGGTTGCGGCATGAGGAAGGTTGAGAACCACTGTCCTAAAATTTGCCCTTTCTACTTTGCCTCCCACCTTTCCAGAACCCAATGATGGGTTTGTTGGGAATAAAGGAGTGTTTAGATGGGATGTAATCATTTCTCCACAGGAAGAAACCCATAGACAGGAGAAAGATAAGTAGGGAAAAAGGATGTCATATTTCTTTGGCAATTACAATGTGCCTTTTACTGTGCTGGGCACTCACTTTAATGATCTTCCTCCCTCATTCCTCAAGACCAGGATATGTGCCAGCTTCTGTCGTCCCCACTGAAGAGAGCAAACGGAGGCTCAGGGAGCATAAGGGTTTGGCTAAGACAGTGGCTCACGACCTTCCTCATGCCGCGACCCTTTCATACAGTTCCTCAGGTGGTGGTGACCCCCCCCAGCCATAAAATTATTTTCATTGCTCCTTCATAATTGTCATTTTGCTACTGTTAGGAATTGGGTGACCCCTGTGAAAGGGTCATTTGACCCCCCAAAGGGGTCACGACCCACAGGTTGAGAACCTCTGGGATAAGAGCACGTAATGGGGAAGGGGAGACTAACAGGTCTGTACTTTCTCTGCTAGGTCACTAGTTTTGCTTTTAAATAGCAAAGAAGTGTGTCGACCTCGCCAGCGTTATTTTATCGGTCGAACAAGCTGCATGTAGCTTCTCAATCAGCCAGGTGATTCCTGGAGAGCGGCCTCTGTGTGAGCGAGCCTGGCTAATTATTGATTTCAGTCTCTGGGACGCAGACTCTTAAGCCCCGTGGAGGCTTATGTCGCACTATGACATTCTGGCACCAGTGGACATCCCTAAACAACCCCGTGGAATTTGATGCATGCGGTTTAATCCCCCTCCTTTTTGGAGGGAGAAGCTTTTTTTGGGGGGGGGGTGTCTGTTTCCTACAGCGGTTCTCAACTTTCCTCATGCCGTGCCCCTTTCATACAGTTCCTTATGTGGTGGTGACCCCTCCAACCATAAAATTATTTTCATTACTACTTCATCACTGTCGTTTTGCTACTGTTATGAATCGGGCAACCCCTGTGAAAGGGTCATTTGACCTCCAAAGGGGTCGCGACCCTCAGGTTGAGAACCGCTGCCCTAGAAGCTTGTGCTGAGTGTAGGCGATGAAGAAATAGGCCCTAAAACGTGCATCGTTTAAAGGAACTCCGGGCCTGTTGGCTTTTTAATGAATGAAGACAGAGTTCCAGACCCATTCTCATCTCCCGAAGTTTCATCCGTGGCTCTGTGCGCAAAGCGGTAATGTCCCGTGAGGAACCGAACTTTGCTCGGAGATTGAAGACTCCGAATGTAAGCCCAGGATTTGGCTTTACACCCACAGGCAGTTCTTGTTTGTTCCTTGTTTTCCCTTCCCTCGACCCCATCCGTGAGGATTCACTAAGACATTTTATAAGTCAAGCTGGTTTCTGGGAGCTGCTAAGAGTTCAGGACTTCCGAGTGCCAGTGCAGGCTAGCACATCGCTCTCTTCTTCCACCTTGAATTGCCTGCCGTGTCCTTCGCCGCTGTATTAGTCTAGGAACTTTGGAGAAACAGATCCACAGCAACTCACGTATAAGAGAGAGTTTTATGCAAAGAAAATGTTCATCACGAAAACATCCCAACCCAATGCTGCCCAAGCCCACAAGTCCAACATTAACCCATACCCCCAACACCAGTCCACAAAGTCCTCCACCTCACAAAACAGAGGCAATGATGCCAACTGCAGGAGGAAAGCTGAGTCAGTGAAGGTACAAGCATCTCAGCACTAGCAGGGGTCTCCGTATGGCTGCTCCAGCACCCAGGGCTGCATCGGGATAGGTCCATGTAGCTTCTCCTTGGGGATGTCTTGTAGGAAGTAAATCTTGCAAGCTGAAGAAGGGAACTGCTAAGGCAGCTGCACCCGGTGCAACCATCACAAAACAAGAGACCCAAGAACTAGAAAGGCGAGGCTTCACCACCCATTTATCCTTCCGCCTTTCAACCAGCACCACATGTGATTATCGGCCAGGCTGGCACAATTAACTAACTCAGCTGCCATCCTGAGCATGACCACTTGGGGGTCCACCGCTTGACAGACGTCCATCTGTTGGGTGGGCAGCTGGGACACCAGAGTTGCAGCCCCCACTCTTGAGAACCTCCCCTCACGTGGTGCCACAGCCTTGGCAGGAGGCACCTGTGGAACCTGACAGATGCAGGTAGAACCAGGCCAGAAGCGGGCACATGTCAGACGGTGGGAGGGTGGGAGCTTGGCCGGTTCCGCAGACAATGTGAGGAACCTGCGTGGCAGACTTGTTTCTCCACACGACATTGTTTTCTTGCCACAGAGACCCAGCCCTGGGGCTGCCCTCGGCACCCGGGAGCCAGGTGTCAGTGCCATTTCCATGGGGTTGAGTCACAGCCACTGCAGAGCCGCTGTGGCGTCCAGATGGGAAACCTGCTTCTTTGACGACTGTGCCATGCATCATGAGAAGAACTCAGCTCTGTGGCCAGGTGACAATTTAGTCTCCAACAAGGCTCAGAGGCGAGCATGAGTGGCACTGGTCTCTAGGCTGAAAAAATATTAGCAGCAGCCGGCACTCAGAGAAGAGAGACAGGCTCTGTAGTTCCAAGATGCCATTTCCCATCCTTGGTGTGTTTGGGCCACGTAAACATTCTTTCTTCAACTCTGTTTTCGAATAAGTGCAGTTTTCATTCCCAAATGATCACACCGTTGGCACAAAAATGACCAGGACTGTAATGATGAGCTCCGAGACTGCCCCCAGCCAACGCTGGAAGCCCTGTTTTCTCGAGCAGCCGGTGGCTGGAAGCGCAGGGCCTGGACCTGGGGGTGTCGGAGGACCCAGGAGAGAGGGCTGGCGCAGTAGCCGCATTGGCGGCTGGCTCTGCAGGATGAACTCACCATGCTTTCCCCTGCTTTATCTTCCAGTTAATGACCAGCCACCCGTCCCTGCTGGGAGCGCCTGCTATTGCCCCACAGGACCCGGAGCCGCCGGCAGGCTGCTGTGGGCGCTGGCTGCGGGAACATGGCTTGGGGGTCCCAGTTGAGGTTGCTGCTGTGGAAGAACCTCACTTTCAGAAGAAGACAAACAGTAAGCTTGGATTTTCTAAATGAATTTGAGTTGGGTGTTGGAGGAAGGAGGAAAGGGAGGCCTTTTGGCTTTCAGAAACTGATGGAATGAATTTGGATCCCTGGTGGTCACAGGACTTCAGGGGCCGGCGACCCGTGGGTGGGTCTGGTGTGGCCCTCGGGCTGATTGTAGAGGGCAGGCAGACAGTACTGCTAGCTTTGGTTTGTGCAAGTGCCCAGGCCTCCGTTCTGATCCCTGCAAGCTGGCACAAAACTGCCCCTGCCCACCTGTTCTAACTTTTGGCCCATAACCCAGTTATCTACATGGCTCTCCAAAAGCACCCATAGGGCTCCTTCCTGTCTTTCTGGGAGGTGGGAGTGTGAAATGAGGTAACGAGGAGGCTGTTAAGAGACCAATTCCCGGATCTCTTAGTGTCAGGTGAGCACCCTCATTTGAGCTTAGCTTTGTCCCAAAGGAATACCATAATGGGACTTTAAAACAACATTTTTTGGAGGGTTCTAAGGCTTTTACTTTCTACTTGGTCTAAGAACATTTCCACTAATTCTGAGGGCAATCCTTCTTAATGCACAGGTGAGTAATGTATTTCCACAAAGGAGGGTGGGGTGGGGAGGGCAAGGGGCACTCTCTGAAGCTCAGCTATCTGCTCTTTGGCTTCTCTGTCTCTGAACCCCCACGGTGCTCATTCCTTCTAGTGTCCTGGGCTCAGCCTCACCTCTGGCTAGATGGTCTCCAAATGCGTTTCCTGCCTTCTTTTTCCTGAGTAGTCAGCCTGTCCCCTGACTGGCAAGACTAGTGACGCTCCTCATGTCTGAAATCCAAACGATAATCTTTCTTAGACGCAAAGGTGCTAGATAGGACCTTGGAAATAATTTGCTTGCGTGTTTCTTAAGCTACAATAATATCTGGGCCCTTTATAAAAGAACAAGAATGTCAAGGTACCCTTGTGCTCCGTAGATACCTTTTATTGCCATGTTACTTAAATTTGTACACGTGCGAAACTAGATGTAAAACCCCTTTTGCTACGACTATATAACCCATACACGTTTACCAATTAAATGCACACAAAATTATAAAACCAATACAATGCAAATTAACATCTTTACTTTGATGAGACAGCTGGTGGTTTAGCTGTCCAGATTATAAATTGCTCCATGAAAATGGTAGTGAATGTGACAGTGAGTTTTGAGTTTGGCCAGTCCAAAAGACAATGTGCTGCCCCTGTCCGATAAGCCTGGACTGCTAACCACAGATAGTGGTTCAAACCCACCAGCAGCTCCAAGTGGGAAGGCTGAGGCTGTCTGCTTCTGTAGATTCACAACCTCGGGCACCCATGATATAGGGCTACTATGTATCGGATTCGGCTTGATGGCAGTGGGTTTGTTTAGTGGCTCCAGTCTCCATTTTTCCTGCGAGCACAGCTTCATTTGATGCCACGTGGCTTTCATTTGGCCCAGTCTCGCCATTCGTAAATCAAGCGTGCATCTGTTCCTTTCTCATTAGCCTGCTATGAAACACAAATATAAACTGGGGCTTTGAAATCCTGTGCCAGGACTTGATTATGAAATGGGCATCCAAAAAATTACAGGTCCGTTGATGAGAATGTATGTAGGTGGCCATTGAAATGAAAACGCACAATATTTCAAATCCCCATAGAGAACTCTCAACCCTTCAAGAAGGTATGGATAGAATCTAGCTTGGGCAACATGCAGTTACAAACGTGTCCTCTGAATCCCAAGATCATCCGTGAGAGCAGGGCCTGGACCCCGTGGCTCCTGCCCCAGCACTAAGAGTAGAATATGTTAGTGTAACAGAAACAAGCACTTAAGAATGGACTGCCCTGTGTCAGGTACTCATACTTTCTTAACCAGGCTATTCTTTTTGAGATCTCACAAAACATTTACCTTTCTGGACTTTATATTTGGGGAATTTGAAGCTTAGAGAGAGTAAGAACTTTGTCTCACACCCATACTGCAAGTACGCAGTAGAGGTCATGTTCAGACCCTGGTCATCCGATACTAAAATCCACTGTGCGTTTCAGTAAAATATTGCTGTTTTTTGCTATCCTCTGTCCCAAGCCCTTTTGGGTTTATGGCTTCTTTCTGGCCTTCCCCTGCCTCCTAAGGTAGTTCTCAGGCCCTGCGTACTTATCTCTTCTTTGCATTTCTTGGCTACCAAGCAGGTCCAGGGCCCCTGCTTCGTCTCTACCTGGTGGCAGCAACCTGCATGACAGAAATTTGTCTCTGTCCTGCTGTGTCCATCAGTCAGGGAGGAGTGGAAAACATGGTTTCATCTTAGGAATAAAAGGGGGGCTCAGAAATAGCTTCATCCTGTCCTCATACCTTACAGATAAGGAAACTGAGGCACAGAGCCGGGAAAGGATTTCTCCAATTTGAGCCAACCAGTAACTGAACTGGGACACCAGTTGGCATTGCCAAGACTTAGGCCAGCTTCTTTTCCAGCCCATGGCATGATATTTTCTTCTTCGCGAAGTCTTCATCAGCGCCAGGGTCCAGCGTAGAGGTGGAGGCTTTAGGGCAGGGAGTAGCTTCTCTGTGCTCAGCCACACATGGAGTGAAGCGCACGGAGCCCTGGGACAGAACGTTGAGTTGAGTTGGACAGAGTTGAGTCATCCCGATTGGTCCAATCTGCAGTCATCTTTGGCTTGTTGGTTCTTGCTCATTGGAGTTCCTGGATTTCAAAGTTTGTGTCAGTATTGGAGAGGCAGGCTTTGGCATAAACAAATTGGAACCTCGTGGTGGAGTTCTTGTTGAAGGAGGGAGTGGAGACACAACACTCAGCACACAGAGGTTTTCTGAGATGCCTGCTAAGGTGCCGGAGTTACCTCTCTTCCTAGAGCCGGGGTCCTCAAACTATGGCCCACGGGCCACATGTGGCCCACCAAGGACCGCTGGGTGTTTTTGCCCATTTTGGTTTTTTACTTCAAAATAAGATGTGTGCAATGTGCATAGGAATTTGTTCATAGTTTTTTTTTTTTTAAACTATAGTCTGGCCCTCCAACTGTCTGAGGGACAGTGAACTGGCCCCCTGTTTAAAAAGTTTGAGGACCCCTGCCCTAGAGGATGTGGATTTTACTGAATCAGAAAGGAAAGTGGTTTATATTAAGGCATAGCTGTTTAGATGATCAGAACTAGAGAAACCTGGCTTGCCCTAGTGCCATGATGGAGGCCCTACAGACACAACCCCCCACCCCTTGTTTTTGATCAGGCTTTGCATTATCTGCAAGGAGCTCTCGTGGTACAGTGGGCTTGAGCCCCCAGGTGCTCCCGGCAGAAAGATCAGGCTGTCTGCTCCTGTAAAGACACACAGTCTGGGCAACTTTATGGGGGTGATTCTACTCCCTCCTGTAGGAGCACTGTGAAGTGGAATCTTTTTTTGTGTGCTTTTTTTATACTAAAGACCTTCAGTTCTGGTAGCCCTTTCTCAGATTGGTAGCTCTTTACCTGATACGCCTTCCTTTGATGCCTAGATTATAGTGTTTAGACATTGGAACCTGTTAAGGTTTGGGTGCCACGTTGATAGCTCACCTGCTAGTTCTGCAGGGAGAAAAATTGGCCTACAATGTATAGGAGATTGGCTGCGTGCTCCCTTTCTCCTGAGATCCTGGTAGGTAGCAGCTTGGTCCCAGAGGCTAGACCGGAGGCTGAGACACGCTGAATCAGTATCTGCTGAATGAGTGGGAAATGTATTCATAGCTTGCTCATTCATTTTTGAGTCTCCAGGAAGCTCCCCTGTTATCGAAGCCTGGTGTGATGCTGCTAAGGAAGAAAGGAAAGACTGTAAAAACCTGCAGCCGAAGAATATACCTCAGAACACCTCCACGGCGAAGGGAAACTCTTTGCCCTTTCCTCTCTGCCTTTGCTTGCTGATGGATCCTGTGCTCCTTGCTTCTGGGCCCCCATTGTACAGCCCCAGGCACCCTTCGTTAGGCTTAGCTTTTCCCTGTTTCTTTTGGGCAAAGAATCTGCTAAAGTTAAGTTGCGAAAGTTGGGTGCAAAGCTCAGTTTGGGTCCAAAGTAACTCATGTGGGTGGTAATCATTCTGCACAAACAGAGTTTGGGACAGGAAGAGGGAGGTGCTTCGGAGTTCTCAGCATCCTCATCTGGTTTGGGGGCTGATCCAGGGGCCAAAGTCCCAGGGAGCAGATGGGACCATGTGTGACCATATGGCTTCCTCTCTTTTGCCTCTATTGTCTATTTTCCCCAAATTAGATTTGACTAGCCATGTGGCTGGGAAAATAGATCATTCTAATTTGTGTATGCCATGTTGGAATACCGGGCTTGGAGCATTGTTCAGGGACAAGGAATAGTTACAAGCAAATTAAAACTCCTCATTAAGAGCCAGAGACTTCTGCTAGATGGAGACTTTCTGTGGCCCCCTCTCCCATCGCACCACTTCCAGCTTCACTTGCCACTGAGACTCCCTTTGTGCTGACTTTGATGGTTAGGATTCTAATCACAGTCTGGTCACCATGTACTTCAGCGGCCTTGGGAGACTCATTTCTTCTAAACTGTAGTTTCCCCCTTTATGGGATGAAGATAGAACAAATAATTATTTATTGTTTTGCTTGTGTAAATCTTTATTCAGTGCCTACCACGGGCTGTGCGTGGTGCTGGGTGTACAGTGGAGAAAGAACCAGACAGTGTCATCTCGGGCCGCATCCCGCTTATAGTTCAGTGAAGGAAGCTGATGTTTAATACAGCCATCGCATTAGCACCAATTGACTTACCAACTGTGGCCAAGGCTATGAAGGAAAACAAAACCAGCTCATTTTTGTTTAACACCAAATCCTGTTTTCAGTTATTTAGGTCAGTTATGAAGGTCTTATTTTTATAGAGGGCTATTTTGAACACATTGTCATATTTATATTTTGGACATCTTGTCAGGAGAGACCAGTCTCCAGAGAAGAACATCATGTTTGGTAAAGTAGAGGGCCATCAAAAAAGAGGAAGGCCGTGGATGGGACATGGATTGACCCACTG